ACGATCTGAAAGAGGAAATACACACCATAAAAAAGAAACAGAACTGTTAGAGATGAAGGCTGTAATACAGGAAATCAAAACCTCTCTTGAAAATATCAAAAGCAGATTAGATCATGTAAAAGATTGAATCTCAGATGTAGAAGACAGAACCTCTGACCTAGAAAAATTCAACAGAAAGACTGAGAAAATAACCCCCCAACATGAGAATGATATATGAGTAATACTAGATACCATTAGATGCCCAAACATCCAGGTAATCGGTATCCCAGAAGATGAAAAAACTAATTAGGGCATTGATAATCTATTCCATGAAATCCTGGAAGGAAATTTTCCAAACCTAGAGAGTCATTCAAATATCCAGACCCAAGAAATATAAAGGACCCCACATAGAATCAACCCCAGAAAATTTTCTCCAAGGTACATCATAGCCAGATTGGACAAAACCACAGACAGAGACAAGATACTAAAATTGGCAAGAGAGAAATGTCAAGTTACTTTCAAAGGATATCCCATCAGGCTAACATTGAACCTCTCATCGGAAACAATACAAGGAAGAAAAGAATGGGAAAATATATTCAAAGTATTAATTGAAAAACAATTTCAACAAGAATGCTGTATCTGGCAAGATTTCTTCATATGGGAAGAAAAGATAAAGACATTCTCAGATAAACAAAACCTGAAAGAATTTATCAACACCAGACTAGCTCTTCACGAAGTTCTTAAGGGAGTGCTGTACCAGGAAAACTAAAGACAGACTGAAATAAGAGAACAAAAAATGACCAAGAATAAGACTTAATGGTAGGGACAAGTTCGGAAATATCAATAATAATGTGGAATGTTAACTTCTAGGATATAAATGGAAAGATCAGACCACAGTAACACTGCAAATTCATTAAAAGTGAGATTACGTGAGACTAAACTGGTGAAATAGAATTCTAGGACTTTTCTCTAAAACATTACTGATTTTCTTCTATGCTTTGTCTTCCAGATGTAAATATTTGGGTTCTCTTGTGAGTTGTTGATAGGTTCAGGAATTTGTTAATTTTTAAAAAATAGAAACATAAACTTTTCTCCCTTCCTGAACCGTTTGCAATATTTGAAACTATTTGTAAGCATTCCTACTCTGTGGCAGAACGGTTATTTGCATAAGTTCAATAATACAATTGTATTTGTTGCCTTGCATCAGAAATTTAATTCCTATGGGGATTTAAGCAAATAACAGACCAAATTGAAACTAACCTTTTTTTTTTTTTTTTTTGCGAATAAGTTGTTTTATATCTCTCTTTAGTAAAAGGGAAAATGGAGAGAGAGAAAAAATGTTTCAGAAGAAAATTACAGTGCATTTGTCACTAGATTTTAGCTTTGTCCATATTTTTAGTTTAAGATCTTTTGTGAATCAATAAAGTGTGAAAAAAAAAGTTTAGTATGGAAGGGAGGAAGGAAAAGGGAGAAGGAAAAAAAAGTATAAGCATGTTTGATTGACAGAAAATGAGAAGCTGGGGTGGCGTGGTGGTTGAGGGCGTTGGACTCCCACACAGCTGAGCGCATTTGGAGTCCCAGACATGGTGACTTGCTTTCTCACTTCCCTCCCTCTCTCCCTCACAATGTCCCTCTCTGCTGAAATTAATAAATTGATATATAATAAAATAAAATAATTCTTAAAAAAAAAAAGAAAATGAGAAGCTGTTTGCTAATGATAATGTATATAGTAATATCTTCGTCTTGACTGACATACTTGGTATTCATGCTGGAAAAAGAAATGTTGTACACTGTAAAAGTGTGTGATTAAATGTTAAAAAAAAAAGAAATAAAGAAAAGAAACAAAGCTATTTGGGGGTCTTGGGGTTTATAAGAAAAAATTAATGGACACAATACTGTATGTAAATAAGGGGAATGGGGACTAGCAGGTGGTGTGGTGCTTAAGGTGCTGGACACTCCCACATGGCCGACCAGGGTTTGAGTCCCGAATCTGGTGGCATGCTTTGCTTTCTCACTTCCTCTCTCTCTTACTCTCACCCTCTGTCTCTCTCTGGTCAAAAAAAAAAAAAAAAAAGATAAATAATTATAAAAAATAAAAATAAAAAAATAAATAAGGGGAAGATGCTACTGGACAATATGTCACAGTAGGGTTAAAATAAGGACAATTTGGGGCCAGTAAGTGGAGAGGAGGTTAAAGTGAGTGGATCCCATATGGCTGACTCTTTGAGTCTTGGACCTGGCAGCTTGAAAATCATGCAAGGTACGTACACATGTGTGCCAGAAATCCTGAGAGGAGGATGGAGGAGAAGGGATATGGCATATCTATTCCCTTGTGTGGTGATTTCTCGCTTTCTTTTTCTGTCTCTATCTCCAGCAAGCACATGTGCCCTACAGCAAAAACTATTAAAAAAATAAAAAAGACGATTTAATATATATTTCAAAGATAAACTAGTAGAGCTATTAACAAATGTACACAACATAATGCAATGTTTACTGTGAAAGAAAAAATGTGGATAACCTTCATTTGACTATTACACACTATCTATGCCTTAAAAAACTGTAGTTCACAAAAAATATAGTGATTATATGTAAATGAGAAATCATAATTTTAAAAAATAAGATAAACGGAGTTCTTCTTGAATATTTAAAGGGAAAAAACACCTGAAAATGGAACAAACAAAACACCTGCTGGCACGGTGGCTAGAGTGCTGGACTCCCATATAGCTGACCGTAGTTCAAGTCCCAAACTTGGCAGCTTGCTTTCTCACTAACCCTTTCTGTTCGTCTCTGGTGAGCACACATACCTTACGGCAAATTAAAAAATAACAATAAAATTTTTAAATAAATGATTCTTAAAAATAACTGTATAATGATTAATGATCCCTATCAATATTTTATGTACTTTGGAAAACAATTATGTTAAAATTAACATAAAGATTTGTAGAAATTAGGAAAGGAATAACTTGCAGAGCTTGCAATGGTCACATATTGAATACTCTGTAAAGGCTATCCTTTACTTTTAATTCTTAAAAAGAAACATGTTGCTGGGATATTTTATGGGTAGTACGCTTTGCCAGAACTCTTTTAACAGGAGCTGCTGCTGCTTTTCTTTCTTTTTTTAATTTTAATAATTATTTAATTGACTATTATTTTTAAATTTGCCATAGGGCACATGTGTTCATGAGAGAGTGAAAGGAAGAAAGCAAGCCCCCAGGTCTGGGACTCGAACCACTATCAGCCATGTAGGTTTAGCCACCAGGCTACCCACAGGCCCCCAACAGGAGCTTCTACATTGCCCTAGAATTTCCTCTTTTCACAACAATCCTGAGACAAGAGCTTCTATTATTATCACTTCCATGTGACAGAGGAAAAATTGAGGTTGAGGGCTTCATTGACCTGGCACCCGGTCTCAGAAAGGAACAGTGATAGTTTGAGACTGATCTAGGGCTCTTTCAAGAGTTTAGGTTACTGACACTTGCACAAGTAGTTGTCAACAGCTGCCACACATTACAGCCTGGGAGAGGCTTTAAAAAAACCAAACAAACACAGAAGGGATCAGCAGATGGTCTAATGGTTATGTTGCTGGGCAACCACGTAGGGGACTGCAGTTTGAGTCCCAGACCCTGCGGCTTAAAATTCACACCAGGTGCATGTGCGTGTGTGCCCAAAATCCGGAGAGGAGACCCGGGGAGAAGGGATTACAGAGTGATCATCCTCCCTGGGGGTGGGGGTGGGGGTGGGGGGTGATTTCTGGCTTTCTGTCCCTGTCTCCTGCACTCACCCAATAGCAAAAACCTCGCAAAAACAAAACAAAACCCCCCCACAAAACAGCAGAAGAGGGCCAAGAGATGGTAGAGCAGTTAAGTTGCTGGACACCCACATGACCCACCACAGTTCAAATCCTGGACCCGGAAACTTCAAAATTATGAAGCACATGGGTGTATATGTGTCCAAAGAACGTGGGAGGAGAATGGAAGAGAAGGGATTGTAGCATGGCCATCCCCCCTGCCCCCCCCCAAGGGGGTATTTCTCACTTTGCCTCTCACTGTTTCTCCTGCCAGTGCACGCTCCCTAAGACAAAAAACTCTTTAAAAAAATACCAGAAGATTTTCTTTTGGTCCATTAACTTTGCAGATAACAGGAGTCATACTCAGAGTTTGAATCCTGCCTCTGCCATTTGGTAGAGGAGTGACTGTGGGTAGATACTTCAGTTATCTGTGCCTCGGTTTTCCAGCCTGTAAAATGAAAAGGCCTGTAAAATGAGAACAATGACTTTGTAGGGTCCTCCTAAGGATTAAGTGAATCAATAGGAGTAATTTAGAATAGCTCCTGTTATGTGGGCATAGCTATTTAAAATCCTGTCAAATACACCAAAACAAACACTTTAAACGTGTTTATTAAGAACCAGCAGATGGCGTAGTGGCTAAGGCGCTGACTCTCACATGACTGAATGGGGTTTGAGCCCCGACTGGCGGCTTCAAAATCACGCCGCCGGAACCCCAAATCACAAGAAAACGAAGGGTTTGGTGAGGTGGCCATTCCCTCGGGGTGGTGGTGGTGTGGTGGTGGTGGTGTTGGTGATTTCTCACTTTCCCATTCTTTTCTCCCGCGAGTGCACATGTCCGCCCCCTGCCCCTCCCCCGAAGTGTTTATTAAATCAGTAATTCAAAATCTGGGCATCGTATTTTATAAGTGCTCCCTTACGGAATTTTAGTGTAGAGCTTGGATTTTCAACCTCTGCTTGCAGCGGCTAAAAGTTAACATTAAGCAATGAGAAAAAGGAGCTTTTTCTTCCTTTGCCTGCAGGAGGAGGTAGACTTCAGAAACTTGTTACCTGCTAAAAGCGACAACCAATAGAGAAGGAAGCCCGGCGGCGGATGAGCCTGCCCATGCCCCTTGGGAGTTGTAGTTTCGTACAAGTCCTGTGAGCGCCCGGTGGCTAGCCTGGAACTACAACTCCCAGAGTGCCGCGCGCCGCCCGCTCTGCCTCCCGCCCGCGCTGTTCGCCTGGCTCCCAGTACCACCTCTCCGCGGCCGCAGAGGCGCGATGGCCGACCGCAGCGCTGGCCCTGCCGAGGCGCCCGGCCCGCGGGGCTCTCCCCGACAAGCACCGCGGGTCCCTCGCGTGGTGGGTCCGGGCGGCAGCGAGACCCCGAGGACGGCGGCACTGGCGCTACGCTTCGACAAGCCCATCAAGCAGGCCTTCTATAACACGGGGGCCGTGCTGTTCGTGTGTCTGTGCTGCGGCGCCGCCGTGCTTGTCTATTTCATCCTAGAGGCCTTCCTGCGGCCGCTGTTGTGGGCCGTGCTGTGCGGCACCTTCCTGCACCCCTTCAAGAGCTCGCTGACGCGCCTGGGCCGCCACTGGTTGCAGCGGCTGCACCGCGCGCACACGCCCATCGTGCTGGCCGCGCTGCTGCTGCCCCTCTGCTTCGCGGACTACGGCGTCGAGGCCCTGGGCGAGCAGGCTTTGCGCCGCCGCCGCCTGCTGCTCCTGCTGGGCGCCGGAGGCCCGCTGCTCTACGGCCTCTACTACCTCGGCAGCTACCTGGGCGTGCAGGTGCTGCTGGCGCACGCCGGCGAACTCATCTGCGGTGGGCTGGACTACTTCAGCAGCCTGTGGGTGAGTGAGCGGTGGCCTGGGCCCTGCGGTCCTCCTTCTCGGACAGCCAGATTATTACCGGCTCGTTGCAGCAGCTCATTCTCGCCGCGCAAGGGCAACTAGAGGTTCACACCTGTGCGGCGGTTGAAGGCTCGTCCCCACTTTCCTTCCCACACCCGAGGAACTAGGCGCAGATCTTTCCTAAGTGGGCTGGTGTGCTTCCAAGCAACCCTTCCTCCATTCTTAGAGGTCTTCTTAGGGCAACAGGTCTCTTGGTTGAGACTCTAATTCACTTTGCAGGCGGAGATCCAAGGGCGTGGCAAGGGGGCTCGGTTTGCTGCTGTTGGAGAGGGAGGGGTGCCTCCATTCTGTTCATCTCTCAATAGATGTCAGAGCTGGAAGAGACTGGAGAGGTTGCAGTCTAACTTGCTAGCCTGCAGATAAGAGAGATGACTTCTTATCAGGCTAGGGCTCATTAGGACAAAGGGGACTGAGTGACTCAGGTTTCTTGCGTTCTAAAACAAAACTTTCTTCACAGGCCTGGGCTGTTTCTCAGTTCGGGTGGTTTCAGTCTAGTTTGTGCAAGGCACTGTGTAGTGGGCTGCCCCGCCTCTTTCTTTTACACAGTCCACTTCCGGAAAACTGCTTGTGCAGGGACCACAGCACATCTCCTGCGGCCTGGATTAGGCAGCAGAGAAGGGAAGGAAGAGGTAGGTTGTGGTACACGCATCACCCTGAGTTTAGTTTTAGAAAATCAGGGAGCAGGGGCCAGCAGATGACATAGTGGTTACGTCACTGGACTGCCACATGACTGACCGCAGTTTGAATCTTGAACCCGGTTGCTTGAAAATCACACTGGGCGTGTGTGCATACCCGGCATACCCGGCCAAGATTCCGGGAGAATGGAGAAGGAATTGTGGTGTGGCCATTCCCCCTGGGGAGTGATTTATCACTTTCCCCTCATTGTGTCTCTCCTCCTCTCTCTCTTTCTCCTGTGAGTGCCTACCTTTTAGGGCAAAAACCTCTTGGAAAGAAAGAAAATCAGGGAGCTTTAGAATTGGAAGGAATTTCAGGATAATCTAGTAATTCATTTTCTAACTCAGCTTGTATCACAGACCAGTTAACTGTCCACACATTTAACTGGGGAATGGTAAACACAAGTGGATGGTTAAGACATAAGAATGCTAATCGATCAATAAATAGTACATTTAAAAATGTGATTCACTTTGGTCAGTGAAATAAAGCTCAGTGTATCTTGACATCCTGAAGTCACAAAATACTTTCCCTTATATGTCAAGTAGAGTTTTGGACTTGCAGGGATGATCTGCAGAGGGACCACTGGTCCAGGAATTCCTTTCTTTTCTTGCTCTGTCAATTCTGTCTTGCTTCTCCATTCATGGGAAAAGTTAATTGAACATGTTATATTATTAGCTGCTGGACTTTATGAGGGATTTACAGGGAGCAAGATGCCGGCCCTGTCTTTAAGCCTCACATAATTGTACTTGAGGGTTTTCTAATGGAAATGAGGGACACACATACATTTTCAGTGTCCACCAGTTATGGGCCACAAGCCCAGGGAATGTGATTGTTTCAGTGTCACACAGCTTGTGAAGACATCTGAGGTTCACTTTTACAGAAGCTCGGTTCAGGGCCCTTTCTCTTTTAACATATTGTTTTTACATCTCGTTGGACAGAAGCCCCCTTCTATAAAGGGCAGAATGCTGTGTGCTGTTAGAAATATAAAGAGTGGTGTTATTTGACTTTTAGCCTCAAAAAATGCTGTTTTGTCAAAGTCAGACACACTTAGAGATTCTGCTTATATTTTTGAGTGTTGATTTGCCTAAGTAGCACATCCGTCAAACTGTAGGAAATTAGAAAAGAAAGATCTATTCGATCGGTAATATACTTAAAAAGCTTTTTTTGGGAACCAGCAGTTAGCGTAATGGCTATGTCGCTGGATTCCCACGTGGTCGACTGCGGTTCGTGTCCTGGACCCAGTGGCTTAAAAAAACTCACGCCGGGCGCTTGTGTGTGCATGCCCAAGATCCCGAGAGGAGAATGGAAGAGAAGGGATTGCGGCGTGACCATCCCCCCTGGGGGGTGATTTCTCGCTTTCTGTCTCTATGTCTCTCTCTATCTGTCTGGCGAGCGCACGCGCCCTGCAGTGAAAATCTCTCCAAAAAAAAAAAAAAAAGCTTTTTTTGTTAGGGATGTGTACATCTGCCAGAGAGATAGGGAGGAAGCCCCCCTCAATGGGATGGTGGTCACACTGCAATCACTCCTCCATATTGCCATCCTGTCAGGATTGTGGGCATGCTTGCACCTGCACACAATCCTGGTACGTTTCTTGAGTTACAGTAGTGGGCCAGGAGTCAAAGCACTGTCATCCATGGGGGATCCAGCTCCCTAAACCACTGAACTGCAGCTGGCCAATAGTTTACAGTATTTTCATACCGGAGTATGAAGTTGAATGCATGGTGAATCAGCATGGTTAGAGGAAGATGGCGCATTTCTGTTGGTCAAGCTAAAATACACAATGAAAAGAGTCCTTGTGAAGAAGTGTCCAAAACTCTGTATGCAGCTTTGAATACCTTTTACACCTTCATCTTTGTAATTTACCCCTATGGGTTGTGAATGAGTGGAAGAGAACTCAGGGCTGAGATTGATTAGACTGGGGGGACAAAGGTTGAGTGAATTAAGGATTTTAAAAAGACCTTAAACTCAGCTGTTCATCTGAAATGATGGGAGCAAGGGAGAAAAAGGGGTTAAAAAAACCAGCAATCCATTGGACTAGGGACAGTAGGAGTTAATTAGCAGCTGGAGAGTGTCAGTTTCCTGACTGATCTGAGTTTGAACATAACAAGGCAAACACTAAGGGGTGGGTAGCTGGCTGGGAATGAGGTGGACCTGGGAAACACAGAGTCAGCATTCCCCCCCTCCCCCCCCCAAAAAAAAGTGCTGATTAAGGCCTAACATGAAGTGAAAGTAGGTCATATGACTGGGCAAGGGGCCCTCTGTAGCTTTTCTGTCTCATAGTTCACAGTGACTTTGTTTTGTAAGCCCAAGCAAAGCTGCCTATTATAGAGCGGTGGTCTTTACACTCTCTAGACACCTTGTAAAAATGTACGCCTGCCTCTGAAGACAGGTGTAGATGAGAAGGGCAGAGGGAAAATTTGCATTTAAGCAAATGCACATTTTGGTGCGCTGACAATTCAGTACATGGGTTTCTTTCACATTTATCCACATTGATTTTATGCTGAATTTATTCCTATGCCATAAGTTTTTGTTTCTTTAGCTCTTTCTGGGATGTGGTTTTCTTTTGTGCCCTGCTCCTCTTCTGGCTTAGGAACCATTTGCTCCTTGTCAGTGAGGATCATCTCATTGTGCAGGGGAGCTCATGTGAGGGATAATCTGCCATGAGCCCTGTAAGTACGACGGTGCATCCTGGGTGCCTTGTTCGCCTGCATATGTCAGTGACCAGAGCATCTACATCTGACCCCTTATGTTCAGCAGTACTGTCTGCATTTTCAAGCATGTGCAACAAAAATTCAGTACTCTTTTTGGGCCACCAACCCTGTGTCCATCCCTGTTGTTTGGCCTGTGGATGGGCACATCTACCAACTCCACCGTTGTAACGGGAGAATGGCACGCACTGCTTCTGCAAAGTGACGTCTTTCAGATACTTGGGGCCCTTCGGATGGACATACCCTTGGTGATCTGGGCAGTTTCATGGATGTTCTTAAAGTGAGCAGGAAAATTTGAACCTCTTGATTTGCATGATTTTTGTGGGGTTCTCTGGGTCTAGTGAATAGTGAACCATTTTCAAAGATTACCTCTCCCGTTTAGGAGAGCGACAGTCCCGTGCATTTCAGACCGACCTTTTGAGCAGCTTCCGTGTGGATTAGGTGCTTTCATGCATGGAATTGCGCTCACAACAGTCCTGGGAGGTGGCCGGGAGCGAGTTCCTAGGTGAGAACATTAATCTGGAGATCGATCTGTTCATGCCGTCAGTGGATGGCATTCACAGACCTTATCAGTATTTGAAGTCCCGCTGTCATCCAAACTGTTTGTAGTAACTTTCAATAAGGATTTAAATTTATTTTTTTCTCTCAATACATTGTGATTAAATTTTGTAGCTTAATTTTTTGTTTGTTCGATATAAATTGACTTTAGTGGTTAGGGAGAATATCAGGCTTGGACTAACCCCATATGTACCCCCAAAGACTCCTGGATTCTGGTCATGTACAGACCTTCGTCATCTCTCTTTTTCGTCTTTATATACATGCAGTTTTTCCAAGCCTTGTCTAGTTTTCTTTGTAGTGTCCTCACTACCTGTGTCTCCTTTGTCGGCGGCTTACCCTTCCAGTTCTGTTCCTCTTCAAGTCACATTTGGATTACTTGTCTCCTCCCAACGCTCCATCCTGCTTGCAGGTGAGAGCCTAATCATTTATCATGTAAAGTTGACCCGAAGTAAAATATGCTTGCTGTGAAAAACCAATTTAAGTAGCATAGAAGTTTGTACGTAAAAGTACATCTTCCCTTTTATGAGCCACCCTTCCCACTACACAGATACTACTATTGCTCACCGATATATTGACTTCTGAGTTTATTTCTTTGCCTATGTGAATATATAAAGTATATAGGCATATAGGCTTTTTTTTTTTTTTTTTTTTGAGAGGTTTTTGCTACAGGACGCGTGCGCTCACCAGAAAGAGAGAGAGAGACAGAGAGACAGAAAGCGAGAAATCACCCCCCAGTGGGGATGGCCACGCCGCAATCCCTTCTCCTCCATTCTCCTCTTGGGATCTTGGGCACGCACGCACATGCGCCCGGCGTGAGTTTAAGCCACTGGGTCCGGGACTCGAACCGCGATCGACTACATGGGAGTCCAGTGACATAGCCATTACGCTAACTGCTGGTCTTGAGGGTTTTCTTTTTTTAAAACAAAAGGGGGATAACATAATTTGATACTTTACTCATTTATTCATCATTGTATTCGATATATTTTCTTGTTAGTGCAT